TCCATTAGCAGTAGTTTCCTATTTCCCCAAACATCCCCACCCATGGCAACCATCAATCTGCTTCTCCCTATGGACTTGCTATTCTAGACACTTCATGTAAATAAAATCATACAATATGTGCTTTGGGCATCTGTCTGCTTTCGCTTAATATGTGTTTTCAAGATTTAACTATAGTGTAGCATGTATCATCACTGTATTCCTCATTATGGGTGAATAATATTTTGCTGTATGGATATACTACAGTTTATTTACTCATTTGTCAGTTGATGAACATTTGGGTTTTTTCTTCTTTTTGGCCACTATGAATAAAGCTTGCTATGAACGTTCACGTACAAGTGTTTGTGGGAATATACGTTTTCCTTTCTCTCGGAATGAAAGTGGAATATACATATATAATATACCCACGAGTGGACTGCTACATCATATGGCAACTCTACTGAGACTTTTGAGGAGCTGCCAGACTATCTTCCAAAGCAGCAGCATGGTATAGTACTTGCACAGTGCATAAGGGCTCTAGCTTGTCCAAATCCTCACCAACACTTGTTAGCTGTCTTTATTATAACCAGCCGAGTAGGTGTGAAGTGCTATCACACTGTGGTTTTGATTTGCATTTGCCTGGTGACTAATGGCGCAGAACATCTTTTCATGTGTGTCTTGGACATCAGTCTGCTTTGAAGAGACGTCTGAGCAAACCCTTACTCCATCTTAAGACCAGGTTATTTGCCTTTTTAGTTTTCAGGTTTAAGAGTTATCGATATATTTTAAATTCAAGTCTTTTATCTGTCACATCACTTGTAAAAATATTCTCACATTCTTGATCCTTTTCACTTTTTGATGGTATCATTTGAAGAACAAAAGTTTTTAATTTTGATAATGTCCCATGTATCTAGTTTTTTCTTTTGTTCTTTGTGCTTTCAGTGTCATATCTAGGAAATCAGTGCCTAATGCCTGGACATGAAGATGTACCCTATGTTTCCTAAGACTACTCCAGTCTTAGCTCTCACACTTATGTCTTTGATCTATTTTGAGTTAATTTTTGCAGGTGGTGTGAGACAGAGATCCAACTTCATTTTTTTTTTTTTTTTTTTTGCATGTGGATATACAGTCGTCCACCATCATTTGTTGAAAAGACTATTCTTTCCCCATTGAATAGTCTTGATACCCTGGTTGAAAATCAACTGTCACTGCAAGGGCTCATTTCTGGACCCTCAATTCTATTCCATTGATCTTTATGTCTATTCTTATTATCCATTTGCCAAAATGTCTACCCAATGTTTATTATTGCCACTTAATAGTAGGTTTTGATATCAGAAAGTATGAGTTCTCATAGTTCTTTGTTTTCAAGATTGTTTTGGGGTATTCTGTGTTCCTTAAGTTTTTATATGAATTTTAGGATCACTTTATCAATTTTAGTATTGCAGTCATAATATAAAGTCTTCCAATGCATGAACAAGAGATGTCTTCCACTTATCTAGGTCTTTAATTTCCTTTAACAATGTAGTTTTCTGAGTTTAAGTTTTACATTTCCTTTATCATATTATTTCTGAATATTTTATTCTTTTTCATACTATTACAGGTGATATGGTTTGGCTGTGTCCCCACCCAAATCTCATGTTGAGTTATAGTTCCCATAATCCCCACATGTCATGGGAGGGACCCAGTGGGAAGTAACCAAATCATGGAAGCAGTTACCTCCATGCTGTTCTTGTGATAGAGAGTTCTGAAGGTAGCTGATGGTTTTTTGTTTTTTGGGTTTTTTGTTTGTTTTTTTGAGACAGAGTCTTGCTCTGTCGCCCAAGCTGGAGTGCAGTGGCACGATCTCAGCTCACTGCAACCTCTGCCTCCCAGGTTCAAGCGATTCTCGTGCCTCAGCCTCCTGAGTAGCTCGGACTACCACCACAACCAGCTAATTTTTTTGTATTTTTTTTTTTAGTAGAAATGGGGTTTTGCCATGTTGGCCAGGCTGTTCTCAAACTCCTGACCCCAGGTGATCCACCAGCCTATGCCTCCTGAAATGCTGGGATTACAGGTGTGAGCCACTGTGCCTGGCCATCCGATGGTTTATAAGGCAGTTTTCTCTGCTCTTGCTAGCCATCTCTTTCCTGCTGCCATGCGAAGGTCTGTGCCTCCTTGTCACCATCTGCCATGATTTTAAGTTTCCTGAGCTCCCCCAACCCCCAAGCTGTGCAGAACTCAGTCAATTAAACCTCTTTCCTTTATGAATTACCTAGTCTTGGCAGTTCTTTATATTAATAATAGCGTGAGAACAGGTTAATATAACAGGTGAAACTGTTTCTTTATTTGGTTTATTCATAGCTAATGTACAGAAATAAAATTGATATTTGCATGTTGATTTTATATCCTGCAACCTAACTGGACCCAATACTATGTCAATCGAGGAAAATGACCAAGGCAAGTCTCAATCATTTTAGGAGGTTTACTTGCCAAAGGTAAAGATGTGCCTGGGAAACAGGTCCATGCCTTTCTCAAGAGATGATTTTGAGAGCTTCAATATTTAAAGAAGAAAAGGGTGAGATATTGAGAAATGTACAATTTTCATGTGAGAGGGAGGTAGAGGAAAAGAGTCATTCACGTCTTTGGCTTTGTGAATATGCATTTTTACTGAAGATAATGTAGATGTTAGGGCAGAGGAAACAATCAGATATGCATTTGTCTCAGGTGGGCAGAGGGATAGCTTTGAGTTCGGTCCTACGTCCTCGCAACTGTAAAGATAACTATCAATTTACATCACCATGACAAATTTTAACAGAAATGTTTTAGGGTAAAGATCTTGGGACCCACAGGGGAGGTGTGTAGCTTTTCATCTTTGTAGCCATCTGGTTTAGGAACCAAAATGGGAGGCAGACTTGCATGACCCAGTTCCCAGCTTGAGTTTTTTTTCCCTTTGGCTTAGTAAGTTTGGGATCCCAAGATTTATTTTCCTTTCACAGTTCTACTTGTTTTTGGTGGATGTCTTATATATAAGATCATGCCATCTTTAATAGATAAGATTTACTACTTCTTTTCCAATTTTAATACTTTTCATTTATTTTTCTTGCTTAATTGCCTTGGCTAGAACCTGTAGTACACTGTTGAATAAAAATGGCAAAAGTAGACATTCTTGTCTTTCCCTGATCATAGAGAAAAGCCGTCAGTCTTTGACCATTAAATGTAATGTTAACTGTAGGTTTTACACAGATGTCTGCTATCAGTTTGAAGACGTTCTGTTCTCTCCCTAGTTAATTAAGTGCTTTTATTATAAAAGGATGTTGGATTTTGTTTTATATATGTATTCTGCATCTATTGAGATGAATGTGTGTTTTGATCATTTATTCTGCTCATATGGCTTATTACATTGATTGATTTTTGGATGCTAGAGCCATACTACTCTGACACATGGCAAGTGTGGTAGCCTCTGGTCTTCTCAGCTTTTCTATTGGACACAGAATATATGTTTACCTACCCCAGCAAGTAAGCTGGAGTGAGGGCAGTTAGGACCCCTGTAGTCCTGGCCTGTTATGCCTAGCAATAGTCTCCATCCATGAGTGGGAACTTGGTGGAAAAAGGGAGCCTCCTGCTTCTTGGCCACACTTAACTGGAATTTAGCCTTAAACCTGGAGTTGGAGTGGATGAGAAATGCTTGCATCCTTCCCTTTCTTGTGAGACACTTTATCCTTTGTTTGAGAGAGGAAGGGAGAGCGAGCCCCACCTTGCTGACCACATCCACCCACAGTGGAACTTCTATCAAGTTGAGCTAGGTATGTATGGGGAGGGAAGGAGCAGGTTATGGCTGAAATGCCACATACTCTCTCTGTTCTTACCAAGTTGTGATAGATTTTCTTGAATAAATTTTTTTCATTTGTTATATATCTTTAAGACAATTTCTAGAAACTTTTGTCTTAAAAATCATTTTCACCAACTACAGTTGTTTCAGTGGGGAGTGTATCCACAGAAGTGGGATTCCCTTCATGTACTTTTTAGAATCTCGGGGTGGTAATGATGACACACTATTGTGAGCCCTGGGGTGCTATCCTTTGTAGTTTTCCAGTATCTTGCCCATACCTTTCTAAATAGCCATTTTATTAAAATTTTCCTCAAATTGCCCAATCTGAGTGATATGGTTTGGCTCTGTGTCCCCACCCAGGTCTCATCTTGAATTGTAATCCCCACATGTCAAGGGAGGAAGGTGACTGGATCATGGGGACGGTTTCCCCCATGCTGTTCTCATGATAGTGAGTGAGTTCTCATGAGATCTGGTCCTATAAGTGTATGAGAATTCCTCCTTCACTCTTCTCTCACCTGCCTCCCTGTAAGATGTGCCTACTTCCCCTTCTGCCATGATTGTAAGTGTCCTGAGGCCTCCTCAGCCACACAGAACTGAGTTAATCAAACATCTTTCCCTGATAAACTACCTAGTCTTGGGTATTTCTTTATAGCAATGTGAAAACAGATGAATACACTGAGCATTCCACATATTTCTTGCTGCAATCCAGACTGACACATGGGAGTGTTCTGAGCACGGAGGCGACCAGGGCTAATCATCTGTTCTCCTCTCCCACCATTTGTCCCATACTGGCTGACTAATCCACATCCCAGAGCTTCAAGAGCAGGTTCACTGGCCAAAGAGCCCCATGAAGGGAGATGGGCCACTTGATGAACACTTGCTGTGGTTTCTTCATGACATGAATCAGACTGATCACGTGGCCCTAGACCCAGTTATGGAAACTTTGATCCTGAAGCAAATGGGCAACCAGTATGAATCTGGTGGGACGGCACCTGAACCCCTTGTGACATCACTTTTTCAGGGGCCTTATTCATAATAAATGACTCTATAGTTCCCAGGAGAAAATGGAGCAGACTGCTTTGAAAGGGTAGAAAATAGGACCAAAAAACATGAAATTTCAGAGTTTTGAGTTAGCCATTGTGCTAGCCCAGTTTTGCGTTACTTATAGAGAAATACTTGAGACCAGGTAATTTATGGAGAAAACTTTTTTTTTTAACAGATTTTACAGATTTATTTTTAAAAAACGAAAACAAAGGTTAAAAAAGTCCTTCACTTCCAACCCTGCCTGGGGGTGTGGGTAGGGAATAGAAGAAGCTCAGAAAGGTACCCGCTTCCTGCAAAGGACACGGCAGGTCAGAGGCAGACCCTCACCCTTCCTGCCCTGTCTCCTCCGCAGGTAGCTCAAATTGCTGCTAGGAAGTTTTATAGGAAAAGAAGTGTGGGTGTGCAAGGCAGAGAGCTGCCTTTTTCACATCAACAGAAACTCCAGCTGTTCTCCCCCCTTAGAAGTTTTCCAGGCCCTACCACTGGGACAACCAGGGTGGATGGGCAGGCAGGCAAGGAGGCTCAGCCCTCTGGGCTATGTGGCCCAGCCTACTACAGCTTTCTTAATGCTCTTTGTGAATCAGGAGGGCAGTCAGACTTGCTTCTTCCCAGTCTTGGCTCATGATTCTGCTGGCTGTACAGGAAGCATAATGCTGGCATCTGCTTCTGGTGAAACCTCAGTAAGTTTCAATTATGGTGGAAGGTGAAGTGGGCGCAGACATGGTACATGGCAAGACAGGGAATAAGACAGAGAGAGGAGATACCCTGCTCTTTGAAACAACCAGATCTCACATGAACTGCCAGAGTTGAAAACTCGCTCATCACAAAGTGGATGGCACTAAGCCATTCATGAGAGATGCATCCCCATGATCCAATCACCTCCCACAAGGCCCCCCTTCCAACACTGGGGATCACAGTTCAACATGAGTTTGGAGGGGACAAACGTCCAAACTGTACCAGCCGTCCCAGTATAATTTCTAGCCTCCTCAATCACTGTGCTTCCCCAGAGAAGAGTTATGGAAAAGGTGCATAAGGGGAAGACCAGGGGTGGCAACGGGTCTGAGAGCCCATCCCCCAGCCTCCAAAGAGCATGCTTCCCTTCAGCCCGCTGACCCCATCCTCACTGCAAGAGCAGTGAGAAACACAGTCCTTCCCACTCCAGCACCAGCATCTCCAGGAACAGAGGGTCCTTTTGGCTGCCTCTCTTTGACTGTCTTGCTTCTTCCCAGCCTTGATCTCTCTTCTGAGTCACACCTCCGGAGATGACAGCATTTTACACCACAATGCCCTTTCCTGTACCCCCTCTCTTCTCCCATTTACTGTCGAAAGTCTGGGGGAAAAGGTGGTTCCAGCACAGCACAGTGACAACCTAAAACTGAACAACAACCATCACAGCTCCGAAGACGCTTCGGTGCTTCACTGACACTTGGAGTTCCTGGTGTCCAAGCCAGGGTCTCACCTCAGACCCAACTGCTCCCACAGACTCCTCTCTGCCTCCCAAGGACTCTCTTCCTATTCTCTCTGGCAACCAGCCTCCAGATCCCAAATTCCTAAACTGGTCTTCTAAGGAGCAGCTTGGTCCTTAAGTGACACCCCAACTCTACCTCTAACCTGTAATATGTATTCAAAGCCTCACTGGGATTTTCTAATCAGCAAAGAGCCACCTTTGTAGGTTTCTACCTCTTAGAGGCCCAAAGCACCTGCCAAAGCTTTCACATTATAGTTTTCCCTTTAAATGATCAAATTGTCAAGCAGGGCTTCTATTGAATATTTCTTTGCCCCTAAAGGGTTAGAGACTATTATTACAAGCGTCAAAATCCTGCTCATCATGGTTCTGTCAAATGATCTTAGAATCACACTGCCTTCAGTCCTTCCCTTCCTTGCAGCTGTGGATGAAACTTTGTTGCTTTATTTCTCCAAAATATCTCTAGCTCTGCTAACCATGTATGTCAGCGGCTGTTCTCAGCCCACTGACTCAAATGTTGATCTCCTTATGTGCCCTTCTATTTAGTGTTGGCAATTCCCTGAAGAACATCGTAGTGTGAATGTTGATCTCCTTATGTGCCCTTCTATTTAGTGTTGGCAATTCCTTGAAGAACATCGTAGTGTTTTCGTCTTCACAGAGATGTTGTGGATTATGTAAAAATAATTAAGGATGGCTGTTTCTGTCTTGAAATGTTTAATAATTTTATCTGTAAACTTGTGGTTTGTAACTGAGGTCCATTAAGACAATGAAACATGAGCCAGGGAAACAGGCCTCTATGTGTGGCCACCGATGTTCCATAAAGCATTCACGATGCACCATGCACACTGAATTCCCTGTGGACCCCTGATGTCGGGAGGCCACCAAGACTCAAAGTGAGCACAAGGTTCTCATGCTATATCTACAACTGAGTGAGCTGGATGCTGACATCCCTGAAGGGCCGCACTTTTCCCCTTAGAGCCTAAACTTGCTTTGAAGGCAGAAAGGCGGCAATGGTGTCTTAAGAAACATAAAGGAACCATGCTGTATTAGTCAGGGTTCTCTAGAGGAGTTTATAAGTATTAACTTACTTGATCGCAAGTCCCGCAATAGGCAGTTTTCAAGCTGAGGAGAAAGGAGAGCCAGTCCAAGTCCCAAAACTAAAGAACCTGGAGTCCGATGTTCAAGGGCAGGAAGCATCCAGCCAGGGAGAAAGACGTAGGCTGGGAGGTTAGGCCAGTCTCTCTTTTCACATTTTTCCTGCCTACTTTATATTCTAGCACTGGTAGCTGATTAGATGGTGCCCACCAGATTAAGGGTAGGTCTGCCTCCCCGCCCACTGCTCAAATGCTAATCTCCTTTGGCAACACCCTGACAGACACATCCAGGATCGATACTTTGCATCTTTCAATCCAATCAAGCTGCCACTCAGTATTAGCCATCACACATATCATGTATGTTCTTATTCATGCACTTCTTTATGTTAGACACCGGAGTATGCCGAAAGGCCATAGTTCTTTTGCCTTCAGTCCTTCCTCACTCATCAGTGAGTCCCAGGCCGAGAGTGGAAGAACTTGTGCATATGAAACAAGTTCCCTTTGTGCAGCATTTGTTTTTACCAGCACGGTTCTGGCAAAAACAAAATACATATGCATGTATAAGCTATGAAGTACAAATTGTGTAACTTCTGTGATTCCACAAATGAGTTCAGTGCACTTAGAATTTAAAACTGGCATTTCACAACATAAAGATGGACAGTAAAATTCATGCTAACAATTTAAATCTAAATTTTCCTTTACTGAGAAAGATATTAAATAACACATAAAAACACTACGAAAAGTTAAGAGAGAACTGAGAACAAAGAGAAAGCGTCATATTTTTATTACCTTAATGGCACCTTCCCTCTGTTTTCTGAACAAGGAGCTTTGCACTTTGAGTTTGCCTGGGCCCCACAGACTATGCAGCCAGCCTTGCAGCAGGGAACACATCAGAGCCTCTTTCCTGGGGGTCTAGTGAGGGATGTAAAAAACAAATACGTTAACAAATAATATACAATATAATGTTCGCTAACCATCAGTGGTATGCTAAACTAAAGAGGCCAGGATGGCTACAGCGAGCCAGAAGGGAGATGGGAATTAGATGCAAATTCCGAGCGATGGGAAGGGCCCTGGATGTCAGGGGGTTGTGCAGAAGGGTAACCAGATCTGCTCCAAGTTTCACGAAAGCTAAAAGAAAAAAATCCCTCTGGCCGGGCGCGGTGGCTCACGCCTGTCATCCCAGCACTTTGGGAGGCCGAGGCGGGTGGATCACGAGGTCAAGAGATCGAGACCATCCTGGTCAACACGGTGAAACCCCGTCTCTACTAAAAATACAAAAACTTAGCTGGGCATGGTGGCGCGTGCCTGTAATCCCAGCTACTCAGGAGGCTGAGGCAGGAGAATTGCCTGAACCCAGGAGGCGGAGGTTGCGGTGAGCCGAGATCACGCCATTGCACTCCAGCCTGGGTAACGAGAGCGAAACTCCGTCTCAAAAAAAAAAAAAAAAAAAAAAAAAAATCGCTCTGGCTGAGGTTCCGAGAATGGCCTGGAAGGAGGTCCCAGCTGGAGAAGCGTGGCTCCGGGGGGCGCGCAGGGCGAGCCCGGGCGGGCGCTGCCTAACAAGCAGGTTTGGGGAGACTGAAACCTTAGATTCCAAGTTTTTAAGCTTGTCTTCTCAAAGCGGGGAACCCAGGAACGTTTCGTGAGCACCTACTGTGTGCAGGGCACGGTGCAGAGCCCTAGGGTCACTGACTTGACCAGGACAGCCGAACAGCTGCAGGATCCGTCGTGTTCTCCAGCAATTTTAATATTTAAAAATGAGTTACTGTTGCTGTTATTTGTTTTCCGCGTATTGGATGTCTTCATGACGAATCCTCAGTGGGGCAACAAACTCCTCACCGCCCGCGACCGCCCCGCAGTCTGAGCCCAGCTTCCGGCGCAGCCAGCCAGGTCCTCCAGGACACCGAGAGAGCCGGCCAGAGCGGCGACGTCTGACGGCGCCGCGGAACTGACGGTCTGTGTACGCAGGGGAGCTCGGTGGCAGAGGCGGCTTTAAGCGTCATCGCGGGCGCGACGCCCGAGGGACAGTCTGGGCTCTGGCTGTCCGGAAGGTGCGGCGAGACCGGCCGGGAAGATGCCAGTGGCGGTGATGGCGGAAAGTGCCTTCAGTTTCAAAAAGTTGCTGGATCAGTGCGAGAACCAGGAGCTCGAGGTAGTCCTTTGCGTTGCGCTGGGAGAAACTGCGGAGTTTTCTTAGGCCCCGGGGGCGGCACCAGTTTCCAGGGTAGCCGGGTCTGAGGCTCCCGGGGCTGGCGCGGGAGGTGGCCGTGTGGAGCCCTCTCAGTCGCGGCGTGCTCCCACCTGGCCGGGTCTACCCAGAATCGCCGGGACCTTTTTGTTATTTGTCTTCAGCTTGTGAGCCCGAAAACCCTGTATGTCTTTGCTCCAACACCTACCGATAAGCTCTTATTAATTAGACATCTTTCCTTCCCAGTATCGGGTTGGGAGAGAGTAGTAATGTGGATTTTATTAAAGATCTTGGTATACACACACACACCCCAACGCGCGCACACACCAAGAAAGATGTGACCATTGTAACCTTTTCTAACTCACAAAGCCTTTCTTAGCCTCGTAATGTTGTTGCCAAGTAAGCTTGCCATTTTGTTTTTAGTAAGACAGATGAAAATTATGCAGCTGTTAACGTTTTTTTAGACTCTTAAAAAGCGTTTATATCATTAGTTTTAACATTAATTAACTAAGGGAGACAACATCCATAAGTAGCAACTCACTAATAGATATTTTCTAATTGAGTTAAAATTGAAAGAATTGTCTTTGCAACGCAGCTTTGGTGATTTTCTGTCCCTTAGTCATTCAGGACGCTTGATGTAATAGGCAGAATCAGAATACATTAGGAATCTGTTGAATTTGTTTTTTGTAATAGTAAGATCGTTTAAATGGGAACTGGAGAACTGGGGAAGGGGATCCACATACATATTATTAAATGTATAAAGAAACTGAGACCCAAAGGGAGATAAAATTGATGACGAATATAAACTTAATACTCAGGATTTTCGTGTTTGATACTTCTCTAAGCTGTTTCTGAATCTGTAATAGGACTGTAAGATTCCTTATAATCTCAGATTTAAACGGCTTTTTAAAATAGCATTAATAAAATATTATTTTTTAAATGTAAGTTAACGGGTAAATGAGGTTTTTAAATTTCTTTTTATTTTTAATTTTTTTTATTTTTGAACTTCTAGGCTCCTGGAGGAATTGCTACACCCCCAGTGTATGGTCAGCTTCTAGCTTTATATTTGCTCCATAATGACATGTAAGTACGTTCACCCTAAAGCCAAGAGCGACAGCTTTCTCAAAGATGTATGGAAATATTTCTGCACTGAAGTAGTACCACTAAAACATAGGCAGAATGAGCTACCTCTTTTATTATAATAACTGTTACATCTATTTCCTATTGAATCATAGCTTAATGAATTATTATTAGGTCTTCATTGTCTTACATACACTTTCTAGAAAACATTTCAATTTATTATGAGAAACTGTCAGTAAATTCCTTTCATTTAACCTTTTTGTCTTTTTAAAAACACTTTTATGACCTCTATTTACTTAACTTCATATATAATCAATAGAACAAAAGAGGTGGAAAAAGATTGCGACCAAGAAGAATTCATTACAAACATGTATGAGATTTTCTGAAAGTTNTTTTTTTTTTTTTAAATTATTCTTAATTCATGTTCACATGGAAAAGTCAAAAAGCGTAGCTATGCTAGGCTGGGCCTGGTGCCACATGCCTGTAATCCCAGCACTCTCAGAGGTGGAGGAAAGTGAATGGCCTGAGTCCAGGAGTTTGAGACCAGGCTGGGGACTTTATAATGAAACCCTGTCTTTCCTAAAAATACAAAAAACTAGCTGGGTGTGGTTGCACATGCCTCTAATCCCAGCTACCTGGTAGGCTGAGGTGGGGAGAATCACCTGAGCCCAGAATGTCGAGGCTGCAGTGAGTCGAGATTGCGCCACTGCATTCCAGCCTGGGCAACCAAAGTGAAACCCTATCTCAAAAAGAAAGCATAACCGTGCAGAAAAGTCTCCTGTAGTTCTGTGACTCACAGATGATTCCTGATAAAGTTTTATTTTAAATTCCTCCCCAAACCTTTCTTTTATATCTTTTTAAAAACTAAATTGAAATTATTACACATAAATGATTTCTTTTTTATAAAACTATAATTACATGGTTGTCGTAGTTCAAGCCTCCAAACCCTTAAAAACTCCTTCCTCAGAAGCTCTGGACCCACTGGTAGGAGGGGCCGTAATAGGGAGAGAAGTGTTGTGTGCCATGCTTCTTGTCAGGGAATGTTAGAGCCTTGATAGTACATAAATTTGTTTACTTTTATATCTGAATAAATTATTTGGGCAGTTTCATAAGTCTTTGTGTTTTTGGTGTGCTGTTGCCTTAATTTAGTATGTGGATTATTATTTTTAAAAAATCCATTAGAAATGGCAAAACATTATTTTGGTAAAAATATTTCATGTCCTTTTTTTCCGGAAAACCACTATTGTTTCCCCAAAACAAATTCATATAAAACTAAATTTTACTTTGTGTTATGTAAAGTATACTTCTGTACGTTCGCCTTGAGACCTGGTAGTTTTTAAACATTTACTGAGATGATTATCTTTTTAATTTATTCTTCTTTGTGGTGGTGTAAATTAGGAATAATGCAAGATACCTTTGGAAAAGAATACCACCTGCTATAAAATCTGTAAGTATCCTTTAAACATATCTTACTGCTTTAATGTAATGACATTCCCTTAAATGGCAACCTTTTATAAGTTTCTGTTTTCTATCTGACATCCTAGAAATAGTCATCAAGCTAGTATTAAAGTTTCAAAATAAATCTTCAGGGTCCTCTACTCAGAAATTTGGATTTTGCTGGGATGGTGTAGAAATTTGTGCTTAGTTCCTACTGATTAGATTTCTTGAGACACTTCTAAGTGCAGCTTCCCTACTTAAACAGCCGAGCCCTTTGGATGAAGGAAGGAGGTGGCGGAGGCAGCTGAGGTGGTTTTCAGCGGGTTTTTGTTGTTTCCGATAATGGTACTTCTTTTGAAACTGCCATTGTTTACAAAAATATTCTAAGAATGATTAATCATAGCAGTAAGATTATTTTGCTAATTAGGATTTTAGATTTCTTATTTTGGATGGGAGATTAGAAGAAATAACCTTGGAAAAGGTTCTTTGAAAATAGAATGAAGTAAAATTTCAACTTCAGATGATTTCATGTGTCTAACATGAGTGTAAAGTGAGATTTTTTAACATTCTCAGAATATTACCAAGAATTCCTCCGAACGTTTGTTCATTGTCAATATTCATCAAGAGATCAGATTAATATTTTTACTTTTGTTTTCCCATATATTCTGTTAAGTAAGATTGGAATATTCCTCAGCTTCTTTGGCTAAATGAAGAACAACTATAAATTATGCACTTACGTTTCAATGATATTAGTGGAAACGCTTATAGAAGCTATAATGTATGACATCTTAGATTGACAGTCTCTGTTAACCATTTTGCTATTACTTTTAACGTAAATAAATATATATATATATATAAATCTATGAAATACAAATACAACATCTTTAAAAACAATATCAAGCTAATTAGTCCCCAGGCTTAATTCTGAAATGTTTTTGGACTACTTTCTAATGCCTTAATTTGCTATTGTAATAAAAAATTTATATCAAGCCTATAAATAAATTTTACATTACTACTCATAGTGTTTAAAAATTCTTTTGATAGTAACTAGACTGAAAAGGTAATTGCATCTTTTAAAATAAATGTTGAATTGGTTTTAATGATGTAGCTAACAAGTTTTTATATCATTTCCAGTATTTTGTTTTAAGATACAGTCATTGGTACATTTGCAGAGTGAATACCCTCTAAGGCAATAATATTTATTGCAGGCAAATTCTGAACTTGGGGGAATTTGGTCAGTAGGACAAAGAATCTGGCAGAGAGATTTCCCTGGGATCTATACAACCATCAACGCTCACCAGTGGTCTGAGACGGTCCAGCCAATTATGGAAGCACTTAGAGGTAGTGTTTCTTTGTGGTTAAAAATGAAATTAGATGAGACTTAGTCCCTAAGTGCTGCAGTGTTAAAGTAGCAAATTAGTGGTGTGTGTTTAAGTAGATACTTTTGATAGGTGAAAAGAGCAGTTTTAAGAATTTTTAGATTTGTCCTAATTTTCCTTTTTGTTTTTTAAGATTACATTGGCTGCTATGCCTCCGTTGTTTCTTAATTCTAGGTAGAAATTGCTCGTCAGTTTTAAAAGTTTTTTGGCTATTAAAGTGAAATTTTGTAGTATTCTAATAAATTTAAGGTACGGGTTTGTAGATATGTGAAAATAGAGACTGCTGTTTGACTTTTGTCAGCCTCAGCCTTTGACAGATGTTGTCTTAAGCCTCTGGATTTTATAACTAATCAGTTTAACACATAGATGCTCAAATGCATTTGTAATTACTTTGAAAGATTAAAAGCCCATTGTGACAGAGCACTGATCCCGCAGTAAAATCTTATTCCTGCCTCTCTACATTCTCCCACCCCCTAACATTTGCTTCCAGTCCTCCTGGTTCACTCTTTATAAGATTATATAATGATCTTGTTTTATGTTGTGACATACTCTTATTTCTTATTGTTACCTTACTTCCATAGTTAATATCCACCTGTACTGTATGTCTTCCTGCTCTGGAGAGTCAGTGAGCAGGAATTTTTGATTAACTATTCATCACTCTGGTAAAGGATATCCACTTTACAGGGCAGCAGGACAGCAAAGATTGTTTCTGAGATTCACATAATTCCCGTGGAATGGTAAAATTCTTAGCAGCATAAAACAGAACAATTAAATGACAAAACAGGAGGCAGCTACTTGAAATGTGAATGAAATGAACAGAATTCTAAGGCAGGCAGATAGATGGGAAGGGAGGAGTGTGGCAGAAGAGTACACAGGTGTAGCAGGGGCAGTTTTAGAAAGTAGCACTGGAAACCTCTTCATATAAGCCCCAAGGAATTGATGTTATAGTGGACTTTCATAGTATCCCTGTGATTCAGCCTTGTGATTGTGGTGATGCAGTCACAGGGCATGTGCCTTTTCCCAGTGTCATACACCCAGTTTGCCGGCAGTACTGGGTTTGGGGCTCCTTACTCATTCAGCAAGTATTCTGTTGTATACTGTCAGGTCTGTAGTTTTATTCCCTCCCAGAGCCTCCTCTCACTGAATTCCATGAGTTTGAGAATTTCTGGAAAGTAGTTCAGTAGACCTAGAAAGGCTGTATAGCATACCATGTGGGAGTTTGAACTCTGGATCTATGCTTTCAAAGTTTAAATTGCAGGTCTGTCACTTTTGGGGTGACTCCTCAGTGCCTCATTTTCCTTATTTGTGAAATGGGATTGGAAATAATACTTCCTTCAGTTTATAAATGGAGGTATAAATAGTACTCTCTTCAGGTTGTAATATATAACATGTACCTTGTTCTAAAGCACTACAATATTCATGAACATATCCTGAAACTTTAACAAATCCCAGATTTATGAATGGTACTGTGGTTTCCTTTGTAAAATGCAGACAGGTCGGGATAGTCCCATAACAAATTGGGCTTACTGATGAATTTAATATTTTGCTTCTTAACGTATTAGCAACTTGTTTTCTAGTTAAGAACAATCACTTTCTTAGATATTTTCCATTCTGTTCTAAATTAGACACAGTCCTATTAGAAAACTGAAAATGACTTAATTGAAGAGAAGCTAGTGAAAACTGTTTTTGCAGGAAACCAACAAGGACTGAGGAAGTACCCAGGAACTAGATAGACAGTAGCCATTCTCCCTTGAGGCCTGAAAGGGCAGTGTTACTGTGGCTGTGAAAAAGGGGCTGCCCCACAGGATAGAAACAGAAGATCAGCTGGAGCAAGTCAGGGAAGAGGCATAGGCAATAAATTCCCTGACCTTCCTCCCAGCCTCTGACCTGATAGAGCACCCATTCGCCAAAGCAGGAGAGCTCAGGTGCCACAGGCATTGGTGGCCAACCTCCCTGGCATACAGCATGGCTGGAAAAGACAGAAGTGGATTTGAAGGGATGGGAGTGACTAGCTCCTCTTCCCTTCTGTCTCTAACACTGGCAATGATGGATGAGCGGCACTTGAATATTTGTTAAACAACTGAATTTGCGTTCTGTCAGCATCTCCGTTTTCACCAAAAATGTGTTCCCTGAACAGCTTGTCACAGATACTGGATGCTAGCTCACTTTATTCCACCTTCCAGGCTGTCATTCTAGGGAGGGACTGAGGTTACAGATTTCACTACTTGAGGATCACATAGTGACTAGTCAGAATGTAGATGTTATTTGTGCCAAGTGGGTATTGCAGCTTCTGAGACTAAGAAAACGTAGCCTTTATTTTTGCTTTGTCAGCGCACTCCTGCCTCCCATTTTATGGTTTTCTTTCATTTTCCAGTTGTATCTTTTTACTTTTTCTTTTTACTCTCCCTTTCATCTCCTCCATTCCTACTGTATTCCTGTTTTATTCCCCACTCTGAAAATATGACCAGAATATTTGAACTGAAGTAAATGTTTTTAAAATCTGGTTGGCTTACCAAATGAATATAGTTTGATGGTATATACTTTTATTTCCCTAAAAAACTATATATTTTTTTCCATTGTTGGCTCAGTTCTTTTCCATTGAATGTCTGCAGCCTTAATAGGAAAAATTTCTTAATGTTGTAAAGTCTGTTAGGTTAGAGGCTGGTTAAAGGAAGGAAGGAATCTAATGGAAAGCCAAGGAAGGAAGAGCAGACGGGGCTCAGTGAAAGCCGGAGCGGATGTCAGGCTCATTGTGAAGGGAAGGAATGGGTATCAGCAGTTTTGAAGGAATGTGAGAAAACAAAGCCTAGGTCATGGAGCCGTGCCCCATTTTGGTCCTCATGATACCATCAACAAGCATGTATTTGGCATATATTTCACTGGGTGCTGGGTGTTTCAGGGACTATAAAGATAACAGATTGCCCTTCCTGTCGAAGTTTGGGATATACTTGAAAAGAAGGGGGTAGGCGGAACAGTGTCTGCCGTAGGTGGTAAAGTTGCTTGTTAAAGTCAATACTGCTGAGTTTGGAGAAGGACAGAGATCATAATGAATTATAAACAGACTTAGGCATGGCAGAGAGCAGACAGGAGGGCATTTCAGGCCACAGAACGGCGTGAACCAAAGCTCCAGAGGGAGAAGCTGTAAGACTTGTCTGGGAGCCAGTGGACTAGTTTGGCACAAAGGGTGTCTGAGGGAATTGGTGTAGTTTGACAATGTTCCAGGAATGGAGAGAAGATTTTAAATACGTTACGGTGTTTCTTTTACATATATACACTGGCCTATTAAATATGGAAAGTAAAATCCAGACTATTTCCTAAGCATGTTGACCACCAGGTGGAGGAGCTCTTGTGTTACCAAAGAGCACAGCGCAGGAAGATAGACCAGCTGCTTTCACAGGGCTCAACTCTGCCTTACGCCCGTGTTTATTTAACGTGAGTATGTAAGCCTAGGGACAATCCCAAGTGCCATTTTCAGGGAAGGTTTTGTTGCAGATGTTGTTTGACTGTCCCTTCTTAGACTCAGTCTTTCAGGGTGAGTCTGAAATTTAGGATTTTGAACCATAACTCAGTCAAAAGTTTGATGCAGACTTGAAGAATGCTCCAGTTACAAGATTTGTTCTGTAGCTCCCAGGGGTGGTCCCGTTTTTCAAAAGGATAGCTGATTATACTAATCAGTTTCCTCCTCCTCCTTTGATTCCAGCATTTGTAAATGAAATAAGTAAAATGTGTATCCCCATTGCATAAATATTGCATTTTATTAGGGTTAGAGCCTTGGGTTTATTAACCTTTTTCTGTCTCTGTGATTTTCATTATTATCTGAGATTTTTCATTTGAGAGGAAGTGTAAGAAATGTATTTTTTTTAATTCAGCAATATTTGAACCCCCTTTACATACTGGCCATGTGTATTTATATCTATAAGCACAGAAATCTTTGGGTTCATCAGGTCTTGCTTACGAAAACTGGACAAGGACAGTGGTGTGACTTAACGGTGTGTTTTGAAAATGCCTGCTCCCTTGGTTCACTGTGCCAACCTTCCACTCCCATAATAGATGCAACAAGGAGACGAGCCTTTGCCCTGGTCTCTCAAGCGTATACTTCAATAATTGCTGATGATTTTGCAGCCTTTGTGGGACTCCCTGTAGAAGAGGCTGTGAAAGGTATTTTTGGCTTACTTTACTTACAAGGAAAATGGAAAATAGAAGTGTGAATTGTAGGTTCACAGTTTCCTCTGAAACACTTGGAACAGAGTATGCTTTTGGAATCCAGGCTGTGTTTGTTTTTTGAAAGGTGATATGAAACAGGTGTTGCGAAACACCCCAGCAAGCACCCTGCCATCAAGCATATTAATAGTTCCATAGCAAGCAAATGTGTGAATATCCACACAGTTAGTTACAAAAATACATCCTAATTGGCCTCTTTGCTCACATTTGGAACTCCTTATTTCACCCTTATTTGGTAAAGGCAGCGTCATCCCCACATCCCTTTTCAGCCCATTTTTCCTGCCATTTCTGACCCATACTCTAGGCGCTTGCTTGCTTCCCACTCACACCTCCTGGTCTCTCCAAATATATCTTTGCATTTTTATTTCTCAGGTGATCCCCAGACTGATCCTTCCTCTTGCTCATTGCCATAGAATAGTGTATATACACCTTGTTGCTTTGTTTTACCTTGATTGGCATTTTTGATTCTCCAGTTGAAGTATGAGCTCCATCAAGCTCCATATCCTCAATTTGCAGGGCCAGCACAGTTCTAGACATATGAAGATAGGTTAATGAAAGTTCTTATATTCAGTTACTAATTACTTTTATTTACTCCTACAAACATTTATTCATTTTGGCTCTCAAAATTGATCCATTATTTATTTTCTAGATATAACATACTTCAGAACCCATGCTGTCAGCTGGCTACCTAGATGTGAATCCTGGTACCACCCATTCCCTGATGCTAGTAGCTATGTGACTTAGGACAAATCCCTTGAATTCCCTAAACTTCATTTTACATACCTGTCAAATGATGGCTCTATATCCCTCTTAATAGAATTGTGGTGATTATATAAAATAATCCCTATAAAAGCACATAGTCTCGTACCTACAGGTAAACCTTCTGTATATGGAAACTGTTTTTGTCATTGCCATCTTTGTTATTACGGATATGATGGTCCCAAAAGGTGTCATATTAGATTTCCTTATGTTTGTTTTTAAACAGTATTGATTAGGTTAATACTATAATGTATTCTTGGCAGAAAACTAACCATCTTTTAGTGATTATAGCAATTATAGCAGCCTAATAGAGTAAAAATAAGGTTTTGATACTTGTTTCAGGAATACTTCAATAAGAAGTTTCCATGCTCTATTAATATACCTTTCTAGTAAACATGCATGTGAAAGGTTATACTATACACGTCATGTCTTCTATACAACTCATGTCATGAACAAGTTGTGGATTTTGTTGGGTATTTTTATTATTTCCACATCTTTATGTGAAATACACTTTTTTAGGTATATTAGAACAAGGATGGCAAGCTGATTCCACCACAAGAATGGTTCTGCCCAGAAAGCCAGGTAGGTGGAGCTTTCACCCATTTATGCAACGTTGAACTCTTCTAAGACTGCTTCAGGTTTTCAGGCTTTGATTTTTGATAATTGCATATAAAATTCTGCTATACTAACACAATGGAAAGAACTCATTTTAAATAAAGCGTAGTAGACAGGGTAGAAAGGAGCCTAAAGGTCACCTACTTCAAACTCTTAAAAATGTATTTCCTGTATATAAACGATTTTATGTAGATGTTTCATGGCCCTTCTTCCTTCTTATGCCTTAGTTTTCACTAAATATTAATCTCTTTTTTTTTTTTTTTTGGAGACCGAGTCTTGTTCTGTCGCCCAGGGTGGAGTGTAGTGGCGCAGTCTTGGCTCACTGCAACCCCCACCTTCCGGGTTCAAGTGATTCTCCTGCCTCAGCCTCCCGAGTAGCTGGGACCACGGGCGCATGTCACCACACCTGGCTAATTTTTGTATTTTTAGTAGAGACAGGGTTTCACCATGTTGGCCATGCTGGTCTCAAACTTCCGACTTCAGGTGATCTGCCCTCTTTGACCTCCCAAAGTGCTTGGATTACAGGTGTGAGCCATCACATCTGGCCAATCTCCCATCCTTTTATGGAACCATTTCTAACTGAGCTTGTCCTTAATATCCAGACTGTTGTCTTTTAAAAAAAAAAAAGTTTTAATATTCAACTGCCCCCCCCCCCCCCGCCTTTCTGCTTGCACTCAAGTCACATGGGTACTTTTCCTGTGGCTTTCACTTTCACCAAGTTAACTTCTCTAGCCTCCCTTTCAAGGCCTTAATTTCTGTGACCTGTCCTTGTTGTCTTAATCTGAATTCTCAGCCCCTCAGTCTTGCTGTCTGAAGTGAACCACACTTGTTCCCGCCTGGTTGTTTCTCTTCGACCTACTGACCAGGGGTATTCTTTTCTGCCAGGTCTTTAGAGCCAGGCTTAGTGCCCACTTCCATATACCCTCCTGCATCCATGTCAACCCAAATTTCCATCCACCTACCCTGAATGCCTGTTGTTTAGACATTGTTGAACATACAGTAAAGGCTTCTCAGTATGTTCAGCCCTTTGAGGTACAAAGAGTGGGAAGACATGATCCCAGTCAAGTGAGATAGTGGGGAAGGGTAGTATAAGAAAGACTTACAATGAACACAATTGCTATCCCTGTTTGAGAAACAAATGGCCCTAAATGCATGTTGTCTGAAAATAGCATGTTCTGTGAGAGGTCTTAACAATGACTTCTGTAAATTGAGCTGAACATTTTTTTTTTTAATTTAGTTGCAGGGGCCCTTGATGTTTCCTTTAACAAGTTTATTCCCTTATCAGGTATGTATTTTCATATGCACATGTTTTAAATGTCTCATTGTTCCTGATTTCCTTTTTGTAGTATGTATGTATATGTGTGTGTGAGGGTGTGTGTATGTATTCCTCACCTCGTAAACAGAGGTTGCATTTCATAAACGTGTAGTAATACTTCCGGCTACAAGAGTGAAACTGGGCTCCCCAGAGCTTGCCTTGAGGTGGTGACCTCCTCTGGGCCAGCGGCAGAGCCTTCTCACTGTCATGTCGGGGAGCCCTGCCAGAGCTGCTCACCAGCACTCTTATTCAGAAGGCACCCCCAGGCTGATATGTCATAACTTAAGTGTTGGAGTTACTCAGCACTTAATTCCTCAAAAAACCCTCAAATTCCTTGAGGTTCTTTGTGGGGTTTTTTTTGTTGTTGTTGTTCATTGACAATTTAATATTCTTCAGTGATGCCTGGGGCATGGGAGACACTCTTATTTCTTGAATTTAATGTTGCATGGGTAAGGATATTTTCAAGAAGAGCTGTAATCTTTTAAAAGAGATGCTGTATGGTGAAAGTGTCTTTAACCTTTACATAGACTACTTCAATAACAAAACATCAGACATGTCTTTACTACCAGTCAGGTAAAACCATACTCACAAAAATCAGATTTCTTGGCTTGCTTTTCAGAAATACCCGGGCCTCTATGATGTAAGGTTTTGTCTAAAACCAGGACAAATCTAAGAACATTTAACTTATTGTTATAAATTGAAGGCAGTAGTAAAGGCAGGTGTTGAGGCCAGACCTTTGCTACAGTGCTATCTAACCCGAAGCGTGTTTGTTTCTTTAACCTACAGAGCCTGCTCCAATTCCCCCAATACCCAATGAACAGCAGTTAGCCAGACTGACGGATTATGTGGCTTTCCTTGAAAACTGAATTCTCGCTCTGAGTTCAAGATTCATCTTCAGATTCCTGTATACTGACAAATACAGAAATGTAAAGTTTGTATTTTCAATTTATTGGATGGATTAAGCACCTCAGCATTCCTTACCGAGTATGTGATAAAATACATATATAATATAAAATATACTATATACATTTTGTCCTTCAACATTATGCAGAACAGTTGCTGAAACAGTTCTCAGTTTGTAATATTTAATAATCTGGATGGAGCCTGTCAGTATTACAGTTAGTTTGTTTTCTAGTGACTCATAAAATAAGATTTCCTGTTTCATGTAGAATAGTGTTTGTCAACTGTCTTTTCTCTGCCCCAGCACATGCCACACTCTTATCTGTACCATTGGTTGATAGTTGCAATAATTCATTTGGATTTGAAGAAAGACTGCCCCCAGGCACAGTATTTGAATTGCTGGGGATTCTGATTCACCCTCTTTGGAGAATATACTTTCTTTTCACCCCCCACGTCCTGAGAGCCACTAATGTAAAATACAGAAACATAGGTGAGGAACAAATAGACCATTTCCATACTAAACCAATTTGTTAACTTTAGATTTCTTCCGATAGTGTGACTATCCATTGCTGGCAGTGGAGGGCTTGCCATGGAAATGCAGCCTATTTAAGGCATTCATGAGAAGTATTAAGTTGTGCTGTCTCCTTTTACAAGGGAAAACTTAAGTGTGGAATGCATTCTATGGGGAAAGAAGCTATGAAGATGCATGAGACACTTTGTACAACTATCCTGCAGCCCATTGGTTGCTTCTATTTATCCCTTGGCCCAAGTTCTGCCCTTTGGAGAAATGCTGAGCAAGTCTTTTATTCTCTGTGTGACAGCCCTCTGAATATTTGAAGTTCTTTGTTGTAACTTCAGATTATAACAGCCCTTAGTTCATTTATTCTGCATTTGTTCAATAAATATTTAACTGAATTCTTCAACTATTTCATTTAAGGTAGTTTCTAGAAATTTCACTGTCTCAATCTTTCTGTGGACACAGTCTATTTTGTCATTGTCTCAATGTGAATTTCTTAAATAGAAATGAGCTATACGGTGAATCTGTGTAGTGATAATTACATTATTTTAAATGCATTTTAGTGGCTATTTCAGTTTTTCTTAACATATATAGGAATACTTTTTGAATTGCAATTTTATTTAACCCGGATAGGTAAATCATATTAAAATTCCTTGTTTTACAGTTGAGGAATTGGAAATTCAAGAAGTCAGAGGATCAGTAGAGTGATCACAAGAATGACAGAGCCAGTTTTTTAACTTCCAGGTATTAAGTACAAATTGTATCCATGGTTATTTTTAAAAGCAGATTAGAGTCAATTCAAATGTTCATTAATAGCAGATTGGTTGAATAAACAACAGTGTAGACTATGCAGCTGTAAGAGGAGTGAAGATCTCTATACTGAACTGGAATGATCTCCAGAGTGAGAACATAGAAAGTACATGTTCTCACTAAGTATGCATGTAGTTTATATGCGTACTTAGAGGGTAACAAAAAGAGAATGATTACAATTATATTTACATACATATTTTCTTATATTTCAAAATGAAGCAATTAAGGGATATATACAAAATCAATAAAATAGTTCCCTAAAGAGGAAGGAGAGTACAGTGAACTAGAGAAAAAATAATCTCAAGTGACTCAAACTCAGTATTTCAATTTTCCATTGTCAGTGAGATGCACACTACGGGCAAAAAAAAACACCTTAGACTAATGAATGTGTTTTTTCATGATTGATTTCCCAAAATATTGATGTCATTATTATTAAAAGTATATTATAGACTAAATTAGTAATTGTGTAACAATAGACCCTAGTAATCTTAAATTTGACATGGAAACCTCATTATATGTTTTATTTTTCTTTGTAAACGTAAATATCTCCCACTCCTGCCTGCTGAAAAGCTCTAGAATAATTACAGTTCAGTAACCGTGAGCACCACTAGTACGTAGATTGTATTCTCTCATTTTCATTTGCAATTAAAAGAAATAAGAACTTATTTGCAAAACAGCTAATAGGTCCAGGGCAATAAACGTACAGGTTCATATCTGGTACAAGATGTCTAGGATTCCAGGAAGCTCTTAAAGACTTGGGATTCTGTCAAAGGGTTATACGAGCCAACTTGAAGGGATTTCTGCAGGCCATGTAAAAAAGTACTTGCAGCCCTTAATGAAACAAAGAAGGGATCTTGGAAATATATATTAATCTGTTGAGACCACAGGGTAGGAAAATGATGATGAGCATAACGTATGTCTAGTATATCCATCAGCCTGTCTTTGTGCTCTGGCTACTTCCGAGCCAGCCATCTGCGTACAGGTGTAGCCTGACAGCACCCTGCTTCAGATCCATTGAATAGCTCTCCAGTCTTGCCCTGGGACTTACACTAACACTACCACCAGGATGCCCACACAAACCTGGGTAAGAGGGTGTTAGCCCCATGGGCAGCCCCGAGCCCTTCAGCAGCTATGAACATGACATGGTGGATAAGCTATCTTCCTTGTCTCAGGGCAGACTATTTCAGATGTACTGTATACCTAGTTCCTCAAAAAGAACCCTAAAAAGATTGAGCTGTGGTGTCCCATTGTCATAAACTCTCTAGTACAACCTTCAATTGTTTTTTCCTCTTTCCTTGTTTTACTTTTCCTGGTTTCCTGTCTCTTGTTCCCAGACATCAAGAGAAGTGATCTGTCTACATATCTGTACATATTTGTGCTATTCTGCCTTGGGGCAGGAATTGGGGACCTAGTCAAATCAAAGGGAAATGTGTAATACATGAATCTGGCTGAAAGCACCTTAATCCACTCATTCCTAATAAGCAAGCCTGATATGATGGCTACTATGCTTACTATAGCATACTGCATCAAACATCAAGCTTTCTTGTCCAAAAAAGTTCACATATATATGTGTATATATGTATATGTAACTCTAATCAAAGTTTTATACTTAAAACCACCCCCAGACAGTGAAGTGGCACTTTTAACATGTTGAAAGAAAAAATCCTAACTGCTACATACAAAAGATACTCTTAATATTCCTATATTATTTTATATACACAAATAACTCTTATCCAAATATATATATATGCATATATATATATATATATACACACACACACATATTAGAAACTCTAATCAACACTTTAGATCTGCTAGTGTACATAAAATGTGAAAATTAGTGGAACAAGTTAAATATCCCACTAAGAAGCAATCAGCCAGTTCCAGAATGTGGGAAATTTAACAGGAGTAGTGAGTTTCCTTGAATAATAAATGACAAAAAGTCAGGGGGTGGTGGTAAGTATGAAAATTTCTGCTCCTGGGTTGAAGTACCTTGAGGCCAACTCAGAATTGTGCCAATAACTATAATAGGTGAATACACACAGTTATCCCTTGAGATACATCAGCCCCTAAATCAGTGAGGAACGAGGAGCCAAGATTTGACAGTACCACAATGAGGTCATCTGCAGCAGCTCTTTGCAGGTGGGGGGGCAGTATTTGCTGATTCCACTGGGCACAGCAAGATCCAAGCTTTGCCTGGTGAGGGGTCCAATGCTGGGTAACCTAGCAACCTGTGGAATTGGGTATTTTTACAGCACTAGGGTGACAAAAATGGAGACTTGTGAGGGCTAAACCACACACTGTTTACCCTTCAAGATACTTGGTGAACTTTTAAGCTGCCTAGGCCAAAAAGCAAGTCAAAAACCTTTGAGAAACATTTCCATTTTCCTGGAGTCTTGCTATGCCAGGGCTCCATTAAACAAGGTTGGTGGGTCGGGGAAGGTATTTGCTTATAAGTATAAGCCAGACGTAGAACATTAGTAAAACTGCTCCTGGAAAACAGGTCAATATAAAATACTAAACTGAAGTACAGAATGGAACTTAACTGGCAGGCATGGTAAACAGCATAGCAATCTACCATTTACCTAATTGGAATCCAGGGAAGAGAGAGAAAATAGAGCAGAAAAATAGAAGTGCCGGCCCAGAATTTTCTGAAACTGATGAAAGAAATCAAGCCACAGATTCAAAAAGCTCAGAAAACCCCTAAAGAGGATAAGTGAAAAGAAAACCACACCCAGACAATAATAGTAAAACTACTGAAAACCAGAGACAAAGAGAATATATTAAAAGCACAGAGGGAGGACCAGGAGGGGACATGTATCTTCAATGAAATAGTGATAAAGCCAGACAATGAAATGGCATTTTTAACATGTCAAAAGAAAAAAAACCTAACTGCTACACAGGAATAAAAGATACTCAATATTCCTGTGTTCTTACATTTAAAAGTTGGAAAAAGATAAACCACTGCAAATACCAAAAGAAAGCTGGTGTATCTTGAGAGTTGGCCCTCCATATATGTGGGTTCTACATCTGATTCAACCAACTGGCTCAAAACTATTTGAAAAAAAGTGATCTAAAAAATACTTCATAACAACTATATATTGCATTGTATTAGGTATTAAATCTAAAGTATACAAGAGAATCTGTATAGATTATTTGCAAATACTATGTCTCATTGGCAGATTTTGTATACTTGGCAGTCCTGAAGCCAAGTATACCCACTGTGGATATTGAGGGATAATTGTATTAGACAAACTAGACCTCAAGGCAAGAAGCATTATTAGAGATAGAAAGTGATTTTTAATGAAAAAAGTTGCATATAGATTTCCTTCTGTAACAAATTGCCACAAACATGGCTTAAAACAACACAGATGTATTATCTTACGGTTCTACAGTTCAGAAATCTGAAATGGGTCTCCCTGGGCTTACGTCAATAGGACTGCATATTTTTCTGCAGGCTCTAGGGGACAAGCTGTTACCTTGCCCTTTCCAGCTTCTAGAGGCCACCCATATTTCTTGGCACATGGCCCTCTTTCTCCACCTTCAAAGCCAGCAACATTGGGTAGAGTTATTTTCACACTGCTCACTCTCTGGTTCTGTCTTCTGCCTCCTTTTCCACTTTTAAGGACCCTGTGATGATATTAGGTCCACCTAGAAATTCAGAATTATCAGTCTATTTTGAGGTAAGCTGATTAGCAATCTAATTCTGTCTGCTATGCTCATTGCCTTTTCCCATGTAACCTGAGATTCTACAGGTTAGAATATCAACGTCTTTGGAGGTTCATTATTCTAACACAGGGATCAGTCCAAAAGGCAATAGGAATATGCAGCAATTTGAAATTGATAATCAAAATATAATCAAGTGGAAGTTGACAGAACTAAAAGGAGAAAAGAGTCATCTATAATCATACTGGAAGACATTAATTTACTTCTTATATTAGCTGATGGCATGAACAGACAATATCACCAAGAACACAGAAAAGGTGACAGACTTGATCTGATTAGGATACATAAAACACTAGCCAACAGTGACAAAATGTATACTCATTTTATGCTGTATCAACCATTCACCAAAATTGAATACATAAAAGACCATAAAGCCCTAATACATTACAGAGTAGAAATCAAAATGAGTGCATTCTCTGAAAACAGTGGGATTAAGCTAGAAATCAGTAAAGTCTGTAGAAATTACTAGGAAATCTCGTAACTGCTTAGAAATTATGTAGTTGGCTGGGCACATTGGCTCACACCTGTAATCCCAGCATTGTGAGGCTGAGACAGGAAGATTGTAGAGCTCAGGAATTAAAGACCATGCTGAGCAATATAGACCCCTGTCTCTACAAAAATATAATTTTTAAAAATTAACTGGGCCTGGTATATGCCTGTGGTCCTAACTACTTGAGAGGATGAGGGAGGAGGGTTACTTGAACTTGGGAAGTCAAAGCTGCAGTGGGCCATTATCATGTCATTGCACTCCAGCCTGGACAACAGAGTAAGACTGGCTCAAGGAAAGAAAGAAAGAAGTTATGTAATATAATTCTAAATGACTCATGGGACAAAAAAGAAAACATAAATTAGAAAATATTTAAGAAATTTATCCACGGC